GCAAAGAAATGTTGTGAATGATCTGAAATGAAAGTCATTTCATTATCCAGGCAGGTAAAGGGATCGGTAGAAAAGAATATCTCAAAGATGCCTTGAAGAAACCCTATTATTGGTGCCTATTAAACACCCCAAACTACTACTTCTTTGAAATACCTCCTTGCTCTGCCTGCATTTTTCTAATCCTGTACAGAATATTTTACTGAGAAACAAAGGCTTTTGCAATCACGTGAATCATAATGATTACTAATTAGTAGTTATGAAGGCTGCTTGGCGATCAAGGATTGGCTTTGGATAAATCTATACCTGACAAGCAGGCATTCAGAAACAGTCCTGTTTAATAGAGAGCTTAATTAGCGATTGGTATTGTTAAGGCTGCTAATTTTACAAGACGGTGAAAGCCAAATATTTGAGTAGAAGGGGAAATACTGGAAAGGTATTGAAAAAGCAAAGATAGACGGAAATCCTGTTGGTGTCCTATGCATGAGCAAGTTCCCCTATGGATGTGGTCGAACATTTTTGACTGATCCAGAACACCTATATTCAATTCAAGGTTAGTATGTAGAGAGTATGTAGAGAGATCTTGTAGCACCTTTGAAACTAACTGAAAGAAAGAAGTTGGCAGCAGGAGCTTTCCTAGACTTCAGTTCAGTCTACTTCCTCAGATGCTTTTGGTGGAGTGGAAAGCCAGGGACAGACATATATATGCTCTTGACATATGAGAATGTCAACTCAAATTCAATACCAAGGGCATATATCTGTCTGTCCCTGGCTTCCACACCACAAAAAGCATCTGAGGAAGTAGACCTTAGTCTAGGAAAGCTCATGCTGCCAACTTCTTTCTTTCAGTTAGTCCCAAAGGTGCTACAAGATCTATCTACATACTGATTCTGCAGACTAACATGGCTATATCTTTGAATTCAATACAAGTTTGTGGAAGTAGAAGTTGAATTGTGCATTTTGGTGTCATTGTGCATGCTGATATGCATTTGACTGCACATTTGCTTATGTATTTAATTCTGCAACATTGCTAGGGCTGTGTTAACATAACCTAGGGTGCATCTACATTGTAGATGCAGTTTGACACCACTTTAACTGCCATGGCTCCATCCAGCACCCTTTGGCAGAGAAGGCTAAAGACTTTATAAAACTATAAATCCCAAGATTCTATAGGATGGAGCTACAGTACTTAAGGTAAAGGTAAAGGTAGTCCCTTGACCTGAATGTCTAGTCATAACTGACTGTAGGGGGTGGTGCTCATCTCTGTTACTAAGCCGAAAAGCCAGCGTTGTCCGAGGACTGCTCCAGTGGTCATGTGGCCAGCAGGACTGCACCGAACGCTGTTACCTTCCCACCAAAGTGGCACCTATTTATCTACTTGCATTTGCATACTTTTGAACTACTAGTTGTCAGAAGCTGGGACTAGTAATGGGAGCTCATCCCATCATGCAGCATTCGGGCCTCGAACTGCCAACCTCACCAAGAAACCTCTTCTGATCATCAAAATTGGCGTCTTAACTGCTAAGCCACCACATCCCTTACAGCACTTAAAGTGGTGTCTAATTGCATTATTTCTACAGTGTAGATACCATGATTCTGCATGGAGAGATTAATCCTATGCAACACAGGTGTAGAGTCTCAGCTACAGAAATTGCTGGAACATTCAGGGAAATGTTCAGATACATCTATGGAGGTTATCTATAGATAGTCCTGTTGTGTTGCCTATTATGACCTCCAGTATCAGAGCCTCTTGATCATAGTTGTTGGGGAACATGAGATAAAACATGTAGGTGCATTGGTGTCCTGCTTGTAGGCTTTCTATAGGCAAGTGGTTGGCCACCATGCAGAATGGATATTGGATTAGATATGCCTTTGTTCTGATTTAGCAATGCATTTCTTAAGTTTTTACCAAGATGCATGCAGAAATGAATATTTTTTTAAAGGAGAAAACAAATGCAAAACCGAATAAACTAAACCTTATATTTTATATTTAGGAAATTTAAAAAAATGCAAATTGATGCAAAAAACAGGAGAAAATAAGCTTATGAATGAATACATGGAGAACTGGTAGAGGCTGGAATGAGAGCAATATGTCCATCTCTGCCTACAGCAAAATTAGTCCAGTATTCTGTTTGAACCAGTGGAAGACTGCTCATGAACATGGCATGGTAATCAAAGGCATACTGCTCCTGAATATAGATGTTTCATTCATAGTTCCTAGGGAATATCTACTTTATTCAGAATTTTGAAAAAGCTGGATCAGATAGTTCCTGACACACAATATGGAGCTTTTTAAGGTGGCCAGTACGATTTCAATGGAACGAGATGATTCTTTTAAAACAAAATGGACATACATTGGGCCCTTGGTATCTTCTGGTTCCAGGACCCCCCTTGGATACCAAAATCCATCGATGCTCAAGTCCCATTGAAAACAACGCCAGAGTAAAATGCTGCACCTTATATAAAATGGCAGAATTGAGGTTTGGATCTGGGAATGTATTTAAAAATATTTTCAAGCTGTGGATGCTTGAATCCATGGATAAAAAAATCTGTGGATACGAAGGGCTGACTGAACTTGTTCTGGAGCAAGTCTCATTGAACTCAGTGGAACAGACATATTATAAAGGTTGCATTCTTAGCCATTTAAATTGTGTCTTTACCTGCTGTGAGCCATCAAAAATGCTCCAGGTTGAAAATACTGCTCTCCTCCACTTTACCATGTAAATAAACAAAATTGATCTGTCTGTTGCTAAAAGGTCAAATGAAGATTTACAGAGATCAGCCAGATGAAGTTACACAGCACCTCCCAGGGAAGGGCTCTACCATGCAAAGAAAAAGCGTTGCTCACGCCTGCCTCCCAATGGCCACTGCTTCCAAACCATGGAAAACGTACAAGCCTTAATGATGCTGCTAATTCCATGTCACTATCCAGATACATCAAATTTAATTATTGTGCTGATAAAATTAATTTTCCATTCCATGAAGATCTGAACTGATTGCTTGTCACCTCCAAGTTCGTATCACTCTTATTCCCCCCTCCACCGCCCCCGTGTTTCTAATAAGTTTGATTTTTGTCAAGCTTGGATATGACTGGCGGCTATGTAATTGCTAGTGCTATTTTAGAAACACAGCTGTGGAAAAGACCCTGAAGCAAGCCAAGAAGCTTGAAGGAATAAACAGAAAAAGGAAATTCCCATTGTGGCCAGAAAAGTCAGCTCAGATCACTGTCAGGTTAAAAACATTTTGTTGCTGTTGTTGCTGTTGTTGCTTTTATTGTTACCCTGTCCAAATCCAATTCAAGTCACATTGCTAGCTCATGCCAGGATTAGCAAATATATTTCTCTTGAACTACAACTCCCAGAAACTTCTAACAAGAATGGCCATTGTCCATGCTGGCTGGGGAATTTCTCCAGCTAGATCTTCTTCAAGGACCAGTTGCCCTGGGACATCACCAAACTTTCACTTTCCTCTATGAATAACCAGTGGTGAGATAAAAGTGTTCTTATTATTCATGGGACACAGTCCTGGAAGTTTGAGACCTGGATGTCTGAGACCACATCTTTTGACCCCTCTCCTTTCCACTCCACCAAGCCATCTAGTGTTTTGGTTCCTCACAGTGACTGGCCACCCTGCAATGTTTTCATCAGCATGTTTTGACATATAAATTTGAAATGCTTTGGCCTTTGTTTTAGATTCCTGTTTGTGTGCACTGAAGCTCAATGTTTGATGACTGCACATTTGACATTTGCCCCTGAGATCTTCCTGCTGACACGCTTTGTTAGAAGCACAGATTTTCATGAAAAACAACAGTCCCACCTTTTCGTTCTATCTCTTGTTCCTCTCCTATTGTGGGTTGGACATCATTTTGGCTAGTCTGTTTTTGGATATGGCAACTCTACACAATTATATTGTATCATATCCAGACCATTCTTTAAGGCCTTCCAGCCAAAATATTTTTCTACTTCCTACACCTGTCCTCTTTATTTTATTCTATAACTATCCATATAAGAATCTGTATATTTAGTTTCTCATTTTAGCCAAGATCCTAGATCATGCTTGCATGGTGGACATCTTTACTAATATGGTTAAATGATAGCTGGCCTTCACCACTATTTTACTGAATACTGACAATGTGTAACCAATTGTCTATCTGTGAATGTATTTGCTGTTTCCTCAATGCAAATGGACTGAGGGGTTCATTGAGGAACTGTGTCTACACAACTGTGATCTGAATATGAACATTATACAATGGCCAAAAAATATCACTGATATTCTACATTGCCTACTTATGTACAGGCCTCCCCCACTTTTTGATGCCTTGTTTTTCTATATTCCACTTGGTTGATCTAAATTATAGTCATTTTACAGACTTTCGACCCTTGGTCTGCTCTTTCAACCACATACTGCTCTCCCCCCCAAGTCCACTTGGCATGCTATTTCTTTTCTCTCAGTATCCTCTAGTGTTCAGTCTTGCCTTTGCAAGCTAAAGAAAGACTGGCTTCCACCTTTCAAGCAATTACACTTTTTGACAGTCCTTTGGTCTGTAACCCATCAGATAAGTTGCAGCTTCCTGTACTTCTGCATAAATAAGTAAAATCTCCTGGCCCACCTTAAGAGCCAAGATCTGGACTGGGTGAAGGAAGTCCATTCAGCTGCTGACTGAGGCACAATGAAGATTATGTTTCTGGCCCCCTCTCACCAGCAAGTGAGTCTGTGGCAAAAACTGTGACAGGTCCTGCTTCTGAATGTCTCAGACTTGCTTGCTGGTGGGAGGGATCTGGAATTCTGGGGTTTGTCAGTTTGTGAGATATTTAGCATTCTCTGTCGAAGAGCTCTGGTTACACTTGTTGTTGTGTGCCGTCAAGTCATTTCTGACTTATGGCGACCTTAAGGCAAACCTATTGTGGGGTTTTCTTAGCAGGTTTCTTCAGAGGGGGTTTGCTATCACCATCCTTTGAGGCTGAGAGTGTGTGATTTGCCCAAGGTCACCCATTGGTTTTACATGACTGAGCTGGGAATCGAACCCTGGCCTCCAGAGTCATACTGCAATGCTCACATCACTACACCACACCGGATCAACAAACTAAAGATCCCAGGATTCAGTAGCATTGAGACATGGCAGTTAAAGGAGTGTCAATCAAACTGTATTAATTCTGCAGTGCAGATGCAGCCTACATCATCTTACTGGATACAGAAGCAGTTACAGATTTGTGAATCTGTAACTGCAATACAAATTGCTGGACATTAATTCCTTTTGCATCAAACTCATGGGTGTATAATATGCCAACAAGGATGCCAGCCTGTATGTCTGAAATAGTCTAGCTTTCTATGGTTTATGATTTATTGGTCTTTCTTCATTGTGCTTAGTACTTCTTCACTGGTTGCCTTCTTGGTTCAAGGAAGTCTGATCACATTCAAGAAATGAGAAATGAAATTCAGAATTTGGGAAATATAAAGGCTTGAATCCTCTTGTTAGTCTCAACTACAATAGGCACTTTAAATAAATGGGATTTACCTATACATTGACTTACCATTCCCCATTTAATTCAGTGAATTAATTCTAGTTGGGAATAACCAGTATGATTCATGCCAAGGTGTTTTGGGATACACTTTGAAATTTGAAGGAGGTGCATTTAGATCTTACTGAGTGTGGCTCTAGCAAAGCCTTATGGCCAATTTGCAAAATGCTGTCTCTCGTGCCCAGCTGGGTGAACAGCTGAGGATGAATGATGCCTTGGACATCTTTGGCAATCTGTTTTATGTCTTGGGGCATGATTTACGTCTGGCAGGCATGGTTTAATTCACCTCTGATTTCATAATAGCTTTGCTAGAATGGTGCAGTTGCTATAGCGTATGGCTCTTGCCTCCTCTGAGTATTAATGCCCATGACAAATCCGCCAAATAAGTGGAGAGGAGCACTCAAACTGGGATATGCCCAGATTCTGGCATAGAGTTAGGCATTTGTAACCTTTTTAGAGGGAATCCTATTCAATGTTTATCATCCACTGCCTTTTGATAGCAACTTGATGTTCCTTTTACTTTGGAGTTTGATATAATATCTATGGTACTTAAAGGTAAAGCAGCAATTTTCCAATGGGAAAGCTTAGAGGTTGGTAGATTTCAATTCTTAGAAGTCCCAGCTTATATGCTTGTAAGTGGAGTAGTTGATCCCTTCCATGTTTTAGCCCAAAATTTAAAGGGTAAGCACTATGGATAGCTCCTTTGAAGTTTGTAATAAAACCCAGAATGAATTTACTAACTTTCAGACATGGAAACCACCACTCACCACTATCCAAAGGCATGGAATCTGGAAACTGAAGCTGAAAAATGTCTGGAGTCTCCCTAGTAAAGAATGGTGCTTATAGAGGAGGGGGTAACTGTGTAGGGTTTGTTGTTAGCTGTCCTAGAGTCAACCTCAACTCATGGTGGTCCTGTGGATGAGACATCTCCAAGACCCCCTGTCCAAAACTGCTCTGTTCAGGTCCTGTAGGCCCATGACCTCCCTGATCAAGTCTAACCATCTGGCATGTGCTTTTCCTCTCTTTCCACCTTTCCCAGCATCATTGTATTTTCTAATGATTCATGCCTTCTCACGATGTGGCCAAAATACAACAGTGTCAGTTTAGTTATCTTGGCTTCCAGGGAGATTTCAGGCTCCATCTGTTCTAGAACCCATTTGTTTGTCTTCTTGGATGTCCATGGTATTCTCAGCACTCTTCTCCACATCTTAAATGATCCAACATTTTCCCACAACCTCAACCTCCACAGGGTCCCTCCAAACCTTTTCAAAATGGAGACATGAAGCAATGCTGCATCACTTCCTGCTGCCATTTTGAGAGAGACTTCAGAGGAAAATAGGGGTATGGGGGGGAATTGATGGATACCAGGTGCTTGGGGGGATGATAGGAGGTGTTTTTGCAAGGTTTTGCATGTTTGGGGGTCCACATCCACATCCACATGTACTTTAACATCAACCATGCAACTCCACTTCTGTTACCTTGGACTGAATATGGATGTTCTGCTTTGTACAAAAATGTCCAGTTCCTTCTGTAGGAGGACTTAAGCATGCATTAGATACCAACAAAATTTGATCAACATCTCTCTTGGTGGGATAATACTCCAGGCAATATCTCATGCATTGCACTGTCCAAGGTCCTGACAGCCTTATCTCACCTCCCAGGGTTTGGCTTTGCCTTAACTCCACTTTACCTGACACGACCTAGAACAACCAGTCTATGCTTAACCTCCACCTCAAACCAAGCCAGGATAGTATGACTGCATTGATTCTTCTTGTGTGATGTTTTACTGATGTGCATGTGACATGCCTCTGCAAAATGGCAAGGCAGTGCTGACAAAAAAATAAATAAATCTCGATGCAATCATGAGTATAATCACATCAATATTGCCATTAAAAAACTCTTATCCAATGCACACAGGCATATTGATAAATGAGGGGATGGGAGTTGCAAATGAATTGAAGGAACTGAGCTGTGGCAAACTGTATGTACAATGATCTGTACATAACATGGAAATTAAAAACAGGAACAATGGAGACTTCCAATTGCATTCTTCTGCTTTGTAAAACAAAAGAAAACACACAGCAGGCAATGTGGAATTCCAAAATCCAGGAAGAAATATGGCTGAGAAGAATTTGGGAAGCACCTCTTTCTTGGGGTGCAAATGTCTTTGCTATGAGTTTAAGTAAGACAAGAGTTTTGGATCACCATACATCTGTTCTTATAAAAGTTCAGGGAAGTGATAACCAGTAGATCAGTTCTAGCAGGGCAGTGAATCCTTGACAACTTGTGGTCTGTCCAGTGGGCCCTTGGTATCCATTGGTATTTGGTTCCAGAATCCTCTGTGGATACGAAAATCTGTAGATGCTAAAGTCCCATTATTTACAATGACACAGTGAAATGGTATTCCATATATAAGATGCCAAGATCAAGACTTGCTTTTCGGGTTTAAATTCCCCCCCCAGCCATGGATGGTGGAATACCTAGATGCAAAATCTGTAAATAAGGAGGGCTGACATACATTAAAGAAAGTACCCGTGGTGACATTGAACCCTGTCACCATATAGGTTCAGCACTTTGGATCTGTCCTTTGAAGTTTGGGCTAAATCCAGAAATGGATTCATTTCCCCTTCTGACATGGGAGTCACTACCTGCTGTGGGCTCACATGAAGGCGGAAATGTTCTTAAGTATGCTACTGAACTTTCTTGCTGCAAATTGAGATCTTACTATTCCATGATTTCCCAGTACTACTGAGGATGAGAAACTTGGGACCTTTGCAGACTGCCAGAAACAGTGCAAATTGAATCCACTTTAAGGGTTAGGGTTAGTGATCGGGAGTCATGGGAATTGTTGTTATTTTTTCTGAGACATTGAGCCTTCTCTGTCAGAGAGCTCTGGTGCCACAATAAAATACAGTTCCCATATTCCCTAACCCTAACTCTAACCCTTAAAGTGGACTCAATTTGCACTATTTCTGGCAGTCTGCAAAGGCCCTTACTTTTCTGACCAACCTGTGGTTCTCACAGTGATCCGTGCTGCACCAAACACCAGCTTTCCCATTTTTGCATGGTGATCGGAAATATATAGGAGACGTGTGTGGTTCCAGAGACCTAGAATCTGTGCACTTGCAAACACAGATGGGGTTCCAGCTCTGCTGCCTTCAAGATTGCACCTGAGGCAGAGAAAGGGAATCAGACAGGTATGGCATGATGGAGTAATAGCAGAAAGCAGACAGCTGAAGAAATAAAGGCAAGATCACCAAGGCAAAAAAAGCAAATATCACTTAAATGATTCCTTTACAGCAACTGACAGCCGGGCTCAGAGGAGTGGCATGGCAAATGATTTTACTAGTTGCCAGAGAGGCTGTTGTAATGGAGGAGGCAGTCATCTGACCCCCTGGGGCCTACTGAAGTGTACCAAGAAGGTGCCTGGGCCCCAGATCTGCCTTTTCACTGTTGACACATCTCTCCCCCTTCCAACCTTCCAATCAATTTTATTTATAGTTTATTGATAATTTAATAATATTTTAATCTTTTGTCTGATGCAATGTTTAAGCTGTATCTACTTTAAAGTGTTGTATGCCACCTTGGATGAGCCAGTGTGGTGTAGTGGTTTGAGTGTTGGTCTATGACTCTGGAGACAAGGGTCTGGATTTTGGCTCAGCCATGTAAATACACTGGGTGACTTTGGGCAAGTCACACTCTCTCAGTCTCAAAGGATGGCAATGGTCCTCTGAAGAAACTTGCCAATAAAACTCTGTGATAGGTTTGCCTTAGATTTGCCATAAACTGGAAATGACTTGAAGGCACACAACAACAACAACAACAACACCTTGGAACCAGTGTGGTGTAGTGGTTTGAGTGTTGGACTACAGTTCTGGAGATCAGGATTCAATTCCTTCCTTGGCTATGGAAACCTACTGGGTGATCTTGGGTGAGCCACACGCTCTCAGACCCAGAAAATTATGACCATGGTAAGGAAATCACAACCATGAATCTGCAAGACCTGAGTTGTGCTGTTGATGACAGAGTGACGTGGCAGTCTTTCATTCATAGGGTCACTATAAATCAAAGTTGACATGAAAGCAGCTAACAACAACAAGAGGAGATTTCAGCAGGTGCTGCTTGTCACACAACCAAGTAGTAAGCAACATTTCCTGAAATTCCCTCTTCTACACAACCATTAAATTTATGAGAGTCTTCTCCAGTTTTTACTCTGGCAACTCTTATGTGACTCTTGAGACTGACTCCTCAAATTTTCAGCAGCTTTCAGCACCCAAATTCCTCTCTTCTTGAAAGAAAAAAACACCCTTTGAAGGCTTTGGTAACATTAAAAACACAGTATTGGGATGTCCTGTACCCTATAATAGCAAGATTTCCCCCCAAAATAATGAAAATAGAGAAATAGAGTGTCACTTTCAGCCACCAAAAGAACATCCATGATAGCATATACATGGATCTCTTGACTTCCAGAGGAGCCAACAAATTGTTCAGAAAGGCTCCTTCCTCCAGATTAGGGGTAGGCAACCTTTCCCCTTTAAGGGCTGAGCTCCCAGAAG